TTTTTGCTGCAACAAACGTTTGTCTGATATGAGGAAAGTGGAAGAGCAACTTCACTCAGGTTTGTTCTCTAACTCTGAATGTTTTTGTCCCCCCCCCCCAGGCTCAGCGACGGCTCCAGATCCACCTAAGCCCAAACGCCGCCACGTCTGCTCGATCTGCGGCCGGGATTTTGCGGGTCCGTCCCGCCTGGCGGACCACGTCGCCACGCATTACGGCTACAAACCCCACAGCTGCTCCATCTGCGGCAAACGCTTCACCAAGAAAGTCAACGTCCTGGTCCACCAGCGGGTTCACACCGGGGAGAAACCGTACACCTGCCCCGACTGCGGCGTCAGCTACGCCCAGAGGTCCTGCCTGCGGAGGCACCTCCTCATCCACTCCCCCGAGAAGCCGTTTACCTGCTCCCTGTGTGGGCGGGGCTTCGTCCAGCGGCGGTACCTGGTCCAGCACGAGCGGACTCACACCGGCGAGAAGCCGTTCTCCTGCCCGCTGTGTCCCAAACGCTTCGCCTCACGGAGCGGCCTCTCCGACCACCAGAAGACCCACGAGGAGCAGAAGCAGCACGCCTGCTCACTCTGCGGGAAAACCTTCTACTCCGCTTCGTCTTTCAGGGATCATGTCAGGAACCACACAGGACGCAAGCTCCACCCCTGCTCGCTGTGTGGGAGGAGCTTCAACCGGCCGAGCCTCCTGAACAAGCACCTGCAGAAGCACGCGGATGGGAGCCTGGACAAGGTGAGGCTCCCCGCAGGTTCTGCCTGGTCGGCGCCGACGCTGAGGCGGCTGCTTTCTCTGACTCCGCAGGAAGAAGCTGCTCTCCGCTGCCTCCCGTGTCAGGAGGACTTCTCCTCCATCAAGGAGGCCAAAGAGCACGAGCGGCGCCGCCACGCCTCCACCCGCTTCGCCTGCGACGTCTGCGGCCGCTCCTTCAGCCGGTCGACCCGACTGAAGGACCACATGAGGTCCCACACCGGAGAGCGGCCGTTCCAGTGCGGCGTCTGCGGGAGCCGCTTCATGGTGCTGAGGGCTCTGAGGAAACACCAGGAGATCCACAGCAGGCCGGACCGACCCGCCGACGCCGGTCCGGGAGACGGCCCGGAGCAGCCGGCAGAACAACAGGTGACTCACAGGGTCGGTACCGATTAGTCATCAGAATCGGGTCAGAAGATGTTCTGTTAGACGGGTCGGTTCCTCAGATGGGCGATCGGGTCGGAACATCTGGGCCATGTCTTGATCCAAACGGGCTGGTTCTGGTTCAGAGCTGAAACTTGTTTCTGTTCCAGAAACCAGACGAGCTGCCGGAGGTCCGTTCCCATGGAGACGAGACGCCGCCTTCGCAGCCTTCGCAGAACGGTGAGAAAGCCAGAACTGTCCTGTTTGGTTGATGTGTTGTTTCTGTAGGAGGCGGAGCCTCTACAGTAGCTCCATAGTTTCTACTCTCTGTTCTTTTTTTTTCTACTGTTTTCCAACCGTGGGACGATTTTATCTTTTTATTGAACATGCAACACAGAGCTGGTTCCAGAATTTTCCTGAAGGCGTAATCCCAAGGGAGTTGAGTCTAAGTTTATGGCGAAATTCGAATTCCTGGGCTGCATCCTCCAAGGACGCGGTCTACCTGGACTGGAACCGTCCGTGAAAATAAGGAGACCGGAAGAGTTTTGGCTGTGGATTCAAACGGGTCCAGCCTTCAGCGGGCTTCTCCGCCGTACGCTCTGTCGCTTAAACCTTTGTCACACCTTGGCGATTTAGACCAGCGTATGAATGATGTATGAAAAATGGTGGTCCATCAGTTCCAGGTCGGTTATCTGATGGCTGACATCCATTCAGCATCAGTTCTTCATCAGTCGTGGCGTCTAGCTGATCCTAAACCTCTGAGTAACTTATCCAGAACTTCTCTCCAGCATATCAGCGTATCTGCCGTGTTCCAGACGAGCGCTGAACGTGTTTCTAACTTCCAGCTACTGTATAATGGCGTATTGGCAGCGTTTTGGTATAAAGGGGGTTCACAGGAGGAAACCGTCAGTTCTCCTCCAGACTTCATCCAGCCAGAAGGTGAGTGATGGATCCTCCCTACATTTTATTTAATACCTTTATTTTTACAGGCAAGTCATGAAGTTCTCACAAGTTCTTATTTACAG